AAGTACCAGCTTTTTTTCCTCTGATTATTTCCAAACTTAAGAAGGTGCTGCTGCTCATTCCTGACAATGCTGAGAACTCAACGTGTTTTTACCACTCAGAGCACCGACTTCTGGAAAAAATATTTTAACTTTTAAAAAAAAAGGAGTGCTGCAAACAGGATTTGACTAATCGCAGAGCAACAGCAGGAGCCACAACTAGAATTTCAACAGAAGCATGTTTTAACCACAGAATAAAAAAGAGAAAAGAAAAAGATGTTAGTGGAAGCAGCTTTTTTTTTTAAACATTTGGGCTCCGTGACCCTGTCACTCTCCTCTCTGCAGACCCTCCCTTTCAAACACATGTAAACTGTCTATCTCATCTCTAACCAACACTCATCCCTTTGTACATCAGCATGTTTATTCATGACACGACTCTCACTGTGGCACATCAAGAGGTTGCTTGAGGAAGAGTGGCGGGGTGCTGTGAATTTCCACGTTGACAACATGTCAAAGGAAGACAGACACAAAGGAATAAAAAATGCCCAAATTCAATTGCTGCACAACGCTTGGGATCGTGATATAAAATGAACAGAACAGTCAAAGCATTAGACTCGATATGTGCATCGGAGTTACATACAAATCACCTCATCCAGGTGACGGCTGGAGTACTACACATTTCATAAAAATAAACACACTATTCTCCGTCGCTGATTCACAGAGACAAGCCTACATAAAAAGACAAAGCAGATCAAAGACGTGCAGAGGAACAATGTCACATCCTGTAGACAAATATGGCAAACCTTGGGACCATACTGCCTGTGGCAGTGCATGCTATCTGTAGCTTAAAGCTATGAAATCTTGCCTTAATTTGCCAAAGGTGGGCAGAGCAGGAGGCAGAGAGGGAAGACACTGTGACTGTGTGACTCACTGTGGGGTTTCAGCTCCTGCTTCTATGTTAGTCTTGTGTTTGAACATGAAGAGCTGAGGAAATAGCTCCACTTCTGCAACGCTAATGGGGCCTAAGGTTAGACATGTTGAATAAGTAATATGGGGAAAGTAACACCACCATGGCCAAAGAGTGTCTTCTAAGCCTTTATACATAATTCAATCAAAAAATGAAAAAGAGGCTCTTTTCTGCAACAGAAGGTGGTGTCAGGTTGTTGCATATTTTCTAATTCAGCCAACTTTGTCAGTGGCAGAAAGCAATATTCTATTTTCTAACAAGGGGAAGAATGTTGAATAGTCAATTTCAATCTCTGAAAAAAGAGGCCAGTTGAGGATAAAAGATACCAATTCTGCCTGAATGTGTGCGTGAGTGGCGGAGGTGTTTTGGCTCTAAGGAGGAAGGCCGGCTCGCTGAGTCTGATGTAGTGCTACTGTATCGCTACTGAAGGATTTACAATAATGTCACAGCCAAGTCTGAGAATCGCAGTAAGAGGGGAAATTTAATGCAGAATCGTATTATTATACTGACATAAACATATGTGCAGATGCACGGCCCACGCACGCACAAATGTGTGCACATACAAAGACACACAAAGAGTGGAATTATTGCAGTGTGAAGCTATTTGAATTTAGAGCATATCTAATCTTTATATCATCCAAAATATGAACCACTGACTTCACTGCCATAGAGAGTGGGCAGTTTGCTGTGCACAAACACACACACACACACACACACACTACCATGCCCCCAAAACACACTCAAACTCACATTTAAATATATGTCTATATATACGACATGGACAAATATGTAACAAATGCTTGTGGAGTGTCTAAAAAAACATGAGCTGTTGAAAATCCTGCTGGTGATGGACTATAATTCTCAAGAATTTTGGAATGCTTCACACAGGAAATGGTGCTTCACTTTTGAAGAAAGCAAAGAAAAGTCCTCAAACATCATCATCATTCACAGCCCTTCAGTTAATTGGGTCTTAATCCTTCCATCACACAACCATAATCCCAGATCAAAATACCTTTACAGGTCAAAGGCCCGGACTTCTGCATAGCAATAAAGTCGAGAGGACACTTAAGACCAGCGTAATTAGACTCCAAACTTTAAGGTCTGGTGCAGGTACATATATTAGGGAGCCAAAAAAGACCCCACAAGTCAAGGCTGTGCAGTTTGTGGACTACCAGAGTTACATTTGATCTGTGAAAATGTCCAGCACTAAAGCCTAATATTCAGTCACCACCAGAGAGTATCTTTAACCCTGTTTGATCTTCTGTGCCCTAGCGAGTCCACAGAGAAGCACATGCTCTATCAGATTTTGAGTATTTTTAACATAAAGCCAGTTCAGCGTTGCAACAGGGATTTAGTGTGAAACTTCCACTGCATGTCATTCACAGCGTGCAAGCAGCCAGTCAGCAGGTTTACAGCTGAGTAAATTCAACACTTTGTTGCAAGACACTGAATTTGAATTTGAATAGAGGTGCAGTGATACAGAAATTTTTACAAATAACAGGAATACAGAGGGGGACGCAGATGTTTTGAGACTTTTTTGCTCTGTGTTAGGAAGCTGAGGCATCACATTTATTATCATCGAAAACTGTATGTCAGTTTTCATCTTAACCCTTCACCTCCCACTGTGGATTCAGCCTTTTCATTTCTTTTTCTTAAATTCCTTCATAGTGACTCGACACAGCCGGCAGTTTTGTTTTAAATAGTTACTGAATTATTATAAGGGGAGAAACTTTGTTGCCATATGTTGTTCTAGTATGGATGGCATAAACAGTTAAATATACTTACATAACCTAATGCCATATATATTTAAAAGATAACTGAATATCTCAAGAAATAAATCTAGAGATTTCCTAAATGCAGAAGGGCATAAATGATATAATGCCACGGTTCTTAAAGTGGCATATTTCTGAGTGGGCTGCAGCTGTTGCCTGCTGGGGCACAGGTTAGTGATTGGTAACAACACAGAATCTCAAAAAAAAAAAACAGCAGCTAACTGGCGTTGCATTACATTAATATATTAGAATAATAATTTATTTAACCAACATGTATTTCTAGGGCTGGCTAGTGAGAGCTTCAACATTTATAGCAATGTTCCATTTCCAGGTCCAGGCCTCGTCTGTGCTGGATGAGGTGCTCATCTTTTAGCGTGCTGCTGTGCTTTGTCCCTTGTTATCTACACAGACACAAGTCCCCAAAAAACGATTCAGTTGCCATTCTGCCCCTAGAGTTTTTATCAGCACTATTTATGTGTTGCACTTTAAGGTCAGTTTTTAAGAACTCACAGCATACCACAAAACCCCTTTGTCCTGGATTATTTTAGCACTTCAATCAAAACCACACAGCAGCATATTAATAACAAACCTGGTGTTCATTTTGGTAAAGTTTGGTCAATTTTCCATGTCTTATTTGCGCCATACAATGGCATCTGTTGCTGCCCATCAGATGCTCTCAACATGGACCATCACTGAGAACAATTTAACCCTCATCCTGATGTGTTAATACAACCACAGCTATCTACTTAAACAGCAGGTAACACATCGTTACACAATACACCAACTAGACAAACTTTATAAGCCCTCAACTGTTTTTCAATTTTCATTAATAGTTCGCATCCATCAGTTAAAACCACTACTTTTCATTTTAGTTGTTTTAGAAATACTTCAGTCAGAACATATATATCAGATATATCATCTTCAGATGTCTACTTGCTTTAAACTGCGCAATCACTTCAAGTGCGATTGGGACCACCCAAGTTATTATAATAAAAGGTAAAAATACATAAATGAAGATGTAAACAAAACAAAACAAACATTTCAACAAGTTAATTGAACTCATTCATTTATCCTCCTTTTTCCCCATTTTAATTTTTATTTCTGCATGGATGTATTTTTAGGATTTTTTTTAATCTCTCCAAATGTTTGTCGTTTTACTGGCACTACAAAAGTTAAACTAAATTGAAAGTGTGGGCACAAAAAAAAGAAACGAAAGGAAGAAAATGTGACTTACCCAAAGTCTTTTAAACAGTGAACACTTAAATTGGGTTAGAAATTAAAGGTTTTATTTGGACCATCCAAAACATCCAAGAGACCTTGGTGATATCTCGGTGATATCTGTGAAGTGTTTTCTTTACTAGGGCTACATTAAAAAATTATAACTCTGGATAGTAATGTCAGGACTTCCTGAACTAGCCAGCCATAACAACAGGCCTATTCTAAGTAGTATATTTAACATTTCTTCTCACCAAAAGGTTGACTTTTTACTTAATTTGCTCCACAGACTCTGATATTTGTAGAGATGCTGCAACAATGATGATCAGATTTTGTCTTGTGGGCCTCTGTTATAAATTATCAACAGTTCTGTAACCCCTGCACTACACCCAAGGGTGGGTAGGTAGAATTGAAACCTGCATTTCACGTGAAAAAGTGTGAATATGCAGCGCAACCTCTGTTAATAAAATAAAAAATAAAATAAAGGTACAATATCAGCACAAAATCCATAAAACATTAAGTGATATGCTTTATGGCGGTTCAGTCTATTTAAAGATCATACACAGATCCTTTGCTCTTCTAGAGCAGTGCTCCTTATCCAGTAACAACATTCATTTCTTTGGTATATTCAGACTCCGTTATTGTCCTTAGTTGTAGTCAGTTTACTTGTAGGTCAATATGTCATAAAGGGGGGCGATCGTAGCTCAAGAGTTGGGAGTTCGCGAGACACGGCTCCGACAGTGTCAGTCGTTGTGTCCTTGGGCAAGACACTTCACCCGTTGTCTACTGGTGGTGGTCAGAGGGCCCGGTGGCGCCAGTGTCCGGCAGCCTCGCCTCTGTCAGTGCGCCCCAGGGTGGCTGTGGCTACAATGTAGCTTGCCATCACCAGTGTGTGAATGTGTGTGTGTGAATGGGTGGATGACTGAATGTGTAAAGCGCTTTGGGGTCCTTAGGGACTAGTAAAGCGCTATACAAATACAGACCATTTACCATTTAAAGCTAAAATCAGTTTTGTTTCAAGTTCTGGCAATTCAAGCAAAAGAACTGCAGTAACTGGGTGATTGTCCTACCATAGTGCTCCCGCCAAACTGAGGTCTGTCTTCTTCTTTCTGAAGATTGGCTCATCTCTAGTGATGGCAAGTTACCAGAGTCCAAGGTCCAAGACACAGTATCCTTGAGAAGTCTCAAAAACCTAGCACAGACACCAAGAGGACTGTTATTGTGGGTATTATTGCAGAGCATATCCTGAATAGTAAACTGATAAGCACCCAAATCTCACCAGAATTGTAATGTAAATAGATATTTAATCAGTTTTGTTTATTGGGATTTCATTTCTTCATATTATTAATAAACAATCAGAAATAGGGAAATGTTCATATTTCTATTTTAAATAAAACTGACTTTGCACGAACCAGTGTGTGAAGTGACCCCTCAAATTATATGGCAGGGAAACACCTGTATGGCCATAAGCTAATCAATAACCCTTAACATGACACTGCAGTTCAATCAGCCATTAAATGCGTTTTCATTTTAATTCTGAATTTTAAAACGTAAACCACAGAAATTGTACACAGAATACATCTATCATGAGCTCAGGAACAGTACAAAATGTACGCTAAAATAACATAAATATCAAAAATATACATACAAATTAAAAAATATATTTTAAGTGATTATACACAATGTCTTTTACATATTATCTTATGGATGAATAAAATCACCATTTAGGCTTTAAGCAAGCAGAATACTTTCCTTACAGCTAAGCATAAAGCACCATTAGACATTGCAGAAGCGTTCAAAAATTTTACCTGTAATATCTTGACAGTAAATTTTCACAGGTGTATTATTTAGGTCACGCAGTTGCTATGCATTGCGTTAAAACACCTATTTGAACACAAATGAATCACCTTTCCAAAATGTTTACATGCTCTTTCCGCATCAGAGCTAAGAAGTTTTCGCTAACTCAATTCCGTTGGTCTTGCTAGGCTGGATGGGCGGGGCTTTACGCATTTCATTCAACAGGAAATATTTCCTTCTCTAACCAATCAGACACCGAATTCGACAGTCAATGACTGACCAACCACGAAATAGTCCAAAATAAAAGAACACTTTATGGAATTTGTTATATATATATATATATACATATAGATATAAAAAACAAATGTAACACTGACACGAATGCCCTCTTTTATGCAAGGACACGCATCGTGAAACACAAAGCCCCAGAGCCTAAGAGCTGCATCATTACCAAACAATATACCTTGTATTTATATTTAAAAATACCTTGATGTTGGTAAAATATGTCCTGTTTGTGTTGTTGTATAACATTGCCATATGTTACAGAAAATGCTCCATGCAATCGGATTATTTTGAGATCATGAAAGGTCTCTGAAAGTCACCATTTCGTAATATTAGAAATTATGATGAATTTAAAACAGCCTTCTGCAAACCAGATTACGTCTTTTTTCCTGCTTTCAAAAGATCTGCATCAGTGACATGAGACATTTACAGACACTTCTCTTCAGTAGCTTCAGGTACATCTTCATCTTGATGCCAATACAAACACCAATATGAAATAAAATGATGAGCTGAAGGCCACATAGATGCACTTCTTAATGACTGTGTCTTGATTTATTTGGGACATAGCATACCTTGGGGTAAAACTGGGAATAACGACACTCCATTTTTTTTTCAACTGTTATTTAAAAGCTTGAATTTTTATGAACTTTAGGCAACTGGCTGATTTTTTCATCTTTCACATATTTTATAAGATACAAATTGTTTGAAACCAGATAGGTTAAGGGCTAACTGAAAAATACAGAATCGTATGCCTTTAAGAGCCTGTTTCTTTATATGACTGAGACAAACAACTAAAATGTGCCAAAAACACTTTTTCTGCTGCTTTGGCATTTAATGGTGAAAACTGCCAGTGGATTAGGTCGAGAGCTGCTTAGATTATTGTGCGTTTCACAGGAGATCATAAACACTGTTATTCCCACTTGGCAAAAATGGGGTCACCACCATCTCCTCACAAGAAACATTGTTCTACTTTAAAATTCAGTTACTGGAGCTACACCACCCACTTTCATTGCAATGTGCTGTATTGGTTTAGGAAAATATATTAGTTTTGCCATGTTTTATTCATCCTCAAGCAGAAGGACAGAATCTACATTGTTTTCCATTTTTGTCCGAACTGACCGACAACCCCATCTGAAATATTGTTCTTTCTCAGAGTTGCTATGACAACAGGTTGTGTGACTTCCACTATGGATTTTACGCATAGCAGAGAATATTAATTCAGTGTTGCCAGCTGATATTCATGCTCTCCACTGTGGAGTGATTACATTTCATTCACAGTGTATGGGTTAATTAGTAAATATATGTAATTAGTATTTACATGGCTTTTGCTCAGGAGCAGTGGTGATGAAATGATGGAAGAATTACAATTCATCTCAACCACCATGTCATTAGTTGCCATGTTTTATGATTGTCCTCCTCTAGACAACTGCCATGTCTTCGACACAAAGTTGCGTGTAATGAACTTGACTGAGAAGTATGCAGCATTTATACTGTTTGCAATAATTTACTCAAACTTAAAATTACTTATTCTAATAATTTCAGATACTAGATTCCTGATTTTTTTGCCTATACAGTAACCTGTAATCACATGTATTGAAACATAATGTATTTTTGAATTAGTCTGTTTGAGATGAATTAATAAAGTAATCTTTATTTTAAACCCACATCCACACCGTCTCATTATTAGCTATTTTATGTAAGCGTGCTGTACTACACGTCTTTGTAGTTTGATGGACTTGTTTTGTTCCCTCCTCTCGTGTGATTCTCAGGGGATAACTTCACCAGCCTTTTCATTAGATACACTGCTGAACTGCTCAATAAAGCAAACATCTAATCAGCCAGTCACATGGCAGCACCTCAGTGCATTTAGGCACGTAGACATGGACAAATGACTGCTGGAGTTCAAACAAAGGATCAAAACGGGGGATGAAAGGAGATTTAAGCGACTTTGAATGTGGCGTGTTTGTGATGCCACACAGAGCATTTCAGAAACTTTTGAATGGCTGGAATTTTCCTGCACAACCATCTCAAGGGTTTACAGAAAAAGAAAATATCCACTGAGCAGCAGTTCTCCGGGTGACAAAGCCTGGTTTATGCCAGAGTTCCGAGAATGATGTCCAGACCTCTTTAAGCTGAAAGGAAGACAACGGTAACCCAAATAACCACTCATTACAACCAAGGTATGCACAACAGCATCTCTGAACACACAACGCATTGAACCTTGAAGCAGGTGGGCTACAGCAGTGAAAGACCACACTCTGTCAGTATACTGATGGCTGCTTTCAGTAGGATATTGTGCTGTTTTGTTGAACATAACAGTGAGTTCTCCACATGCAAATGGCTTCCACAGTCATCAGATCTCAATTCCATAGCGCACCTATACAATGTGTTGTATACATAGATGTGCTCCTGACAAATCTACATCAACCGCAAGATCTAGGTAACTATCTTTTATTCTTCATTCATTTTTCTTTCATAAAGAATGACAATAAAGAATTGTTTATGCTATTTTGTCCATACAGACTAAAATCTCTGAAGAATGTTTCTAGCACCTTGTTGAATCTTTGCAACAAAGAATCTGTGTCCCGTCTAGTACTAGCCAGGTGTAACTAATAAAGCGGTCTGTGATAGTAAATCATTTCACCTGTCAGTGGTCTTAAAGGTGTGATGCAAAACAAATGTAACAAGTTCACCAGATTCAAACTTGACTTCAAAATGCTGGATTGCAACAGTGTTGCAACGACAACACCACAAGGAAATTGCTCTGATTTGATATTGTGCTGACTAATTTGTTTGAATCATCTCTGAGGTGTTAGAGCAGCCAAAGTATATCACTGTACAACATATTGTGACAGCCCCAGGCCTCATGGTAGGTGTTTTCTCATTTCTCTAATTTGTGCTCCCTTGTCTACTCTGTCCTCCATCCTGCTGCCCGTGACCCAGAAATCAGTCTCAGTGCTGAAGGATGTCTCTGTTCCTAAAATGCATCTGGAGGACACAAGACACAGGGAAGAGGAGGCTTGTTGGAGGAGCTTATACAGTAGGTGTTACCTGTGTTTTTTACCTTCAGTGTTTAAAGCGTCATGGTCCACAGCTGGAATACATAAACCAAACAGGAGGAGGACTGTGTGAACAAAACTTCACATGTATTCATTTGTTATTATTATGTTTAAATGTGCTGCCTTTCACTATTTTCTATATCTTGCCACATTCTAACAGGTTATGAATTTAATTAAAGGTATCTGTATCTGTAAATATAAAAGAAGTCACAAGAACTATTACACCAGCTATCAGAAATAACAGCAGCTGTCAAGCTCTGACAAAACAATTAACAATGCAGGTGTGTCCAATGTCATATTTAAATGATGTTGCTATAAACAATGCCTCAGACGTTACTCTTAATTTTGCTTCTCTTGCTTTCACTTTTTCAGGTCCCGATCAATAGGTTTTCATAGTTAGGAGTTTGCGTATGTCAGTTTCCTCCCTCAGTAGTTCTCTCTCTCTTGAAAGGCTTGGTTTACATTTTCTTTGCATTGAATGCTTTGGAGTTATCACTAGTTTTGTAACCAGTTCAAGCAACAAGCTCTTTTGGGTTATCAGCTGCTCTATTCGGTTCATCTTTAATACACTTTTCAATAGTTTTTGACTAAATTGCTGTGTGGATCTCCTTTTTTTGTTATGTCGGTGCAATGTTTGTAGACAGGCAATTTACCAATATAAAATTTTGGTGAAATATGGTGAAAAGATTAAAAAAAAAAGAAGTTTAAATTAGTTTAAAATGAGGATAGGCTTAAAAGGAAAGGAGCTTGTGTTAGACAGTGAACAAAATGAGGAACTGCAGCCACAGCAATCATAAGATAAACAAGGATTTTTTTTTAAAACTATGAATTATGCAGAACATCTCTCTGGAATTTCAGAATAAAAATACGGAGCTGGAAATGAGCATAATACACCCACTTTAAGGGTTAAGTTGTACATTTGATACAGAATTTACCTTTTGATGTTGGCCCCATATGAATGAACCTGATAAGCACCAGGAGCAGCCAGAGTAATATGAATTAGGGCAAGCATTGTTGGGTTAAAAGTCCCAGCCAAGTTTGCCATGTCCCTGCAGCAGTGCTCTCTGATGATTTGACTGACAGGTCAGCAAATGAGGGGCAGTACCTGAAAGCCTCGGGGACTGGGTACAAGCTCTCTGTGTGCATTCTAATAAGACCCTGCTTTCTGAGCCTCACTGCCAGCTTGTCACATCCTAAACCTGGCCACAACCCTTTGGCTTCAAATTTTAAAATACTGGGTATTTTAAAAGCCTATTTTTTTTCACTCTGTATAGCTAATTTTGTAAAGGGGTGTACTGTTAATTATTATTTTAGTGTGTAAAATTTCAAACTCAACAGTAAGTGAAAACAAAACGTACACAGCAAGTAAAAACAAAGCCTCCACACTGGACACAAACTTTGTCACTCTTTCAAACCAGAGGGTTTGCTTTCCAAGTCCAATATTGCTGTGACTGATGTGTCATGGCACCAAAGGGTGTTGAACAACTTATATATATGTATATCTCCGAGATGCCAGCGGCTTTGACTGAAAGGCAGTATTTGATGCCATGGAAATGAGAACAGGTCGGCACTTCCAGAGGAGTTGTGCTCACAGCAGTCCAAGGTTAATCTAGATGTCAACACCTGCTGAGTCTGCAGCATATTGCTGTGGGGCGACATCTCCCATCTTCCCCTATGCTGTAGAAGCTTAACACAGCAGCTGATTCCTCCTCTTCCTCTAGTGGGAAGTGTAGGGGTTGGCATTTCTGTTCTGCCATGCATGACGGTTCCTCCTGGCAGTGTTGGCTGCTGACCTCCTTACGTGCTTGCTTGATTGCTTCCTATCCACTCTAGCCACACTCCC